ATTTAAAATCAAATATTTCTATTAACAAAATGTTTGTCCTAGAAGATTTAATATCATTGGAAGGACTCATAAAGTGCAGATGTGAGAAAATTGAAGACTCGAATGACGTTTCAGATGAATGTCAGATTAATGAATTCAAAGAAGAAATGTTGGCAAAATTTTCCGACTTAGAACAACAGTTACATTTTTGTCGTTCTACAATTTAAATTGATAACTGAAATGCTTTTTTTTGGTTTATACGGTGATTGATAAATAAAATGCACGAATAAAACACTTTTATGATAACTTTTGCGTAACTTATAGTAAAGTTTAAATATTAAAATATTTCAAAATGTTCACCACGACGTGGATCAACAGCAGCATCGAGTTTTCCATTTCTTCTTGTGATTGCAACTATGGCAACAAAACCATGTCAGATTAATGAATTCAAAGAAGACATGTTAGCAAAATTTTCCAACTTAAAGGAAAAGTTGCAACTTTGTCGTTCTACAATCTAAGATTGATAATTAAAATGCTTTCAAGGAAATTTGTGAATGAAAGGCAATTCAAGTACGTGACTATAGTCCATGATGAATACAAATAAAGTGTTTTAGAACAGAAACGACGAGATCATAACTTTTGACTTCTTACTCAAAAATATTTTAATTTGGAATTGAATTTTTAAAACATAAATCACGCGAGAATATTTATATCTACAGCTTTGAAAAATGAAACCATCAGTGAAATGAGTTTTTTTTCTTCTAAGTAGTCACCTCTCTTAAATTTGATAAGGAAAATATTTCATTTCAAGATTTCATTGAACGAGAACACTCTCATGTCAATAATGTCACTTTAAAGTTATCAGTAAGGGTCACGATTTATTTTACCCAAATTTAGCACACAACAACAATTTTATAATCTCTTAAAAATGTTCACAAATGTGTAATCGAATCAGTTGCTTGTCGATTGGATTTACGAAGAATCATTTGGTAATACATATAAAAGAATTAGTGAAGTCGAATAATTAATATTCATTTGAATTTTATATTTTGAAAGATTACAACAAAATGAAACACATTTACGTAGAGTAGGAGTAACTAATTCCGACTGGTTTCTCGTTGTATAATTTTGGAATTATTCACACTTTTTGCTTCTCAACTTTATTGATCCCAAAATCGTTTATATACGCTAAAGAAGATAAAAGCGAAAAAAACTTAAACTTTAAGGTTTAGGTATGAGGTGTGTTTGAGAAAGTTGTTCCTGTCCACATGCTGCAACTTTTATTTTCATATTTTATCATATCCTTAATGATTCAAAAGTTATTGTTAAATAACGTAAATTTCATTTGACTATTAAATTATTTTCCAATTCAACAGGATTAAAGATGACAACACTGCTGATGATAATTTTACTTTTTTGCCTTTTTGGCAGATCCCTAAATAAAATAAAAAATTAGAGTAGAAACTTTCAAAAGTATTTTAAATCAAGTTTTTCACCTTTGAAGCAGTTTTGTTAGTTTCAGTTTTCTTCGGAGGATTCGGTTTCTTAGTTTCTGCTGAACCTGCAGTCGATGCAGCTTTGACAGTTTCAGCAATCTTCGGAGGGTTTGCTGGTTCTTTAATATCTGAATCTGCAGTCGATGCAGCTTTGACAGTTTCAGCAATCTTCGGAGGGTTTGATGGTTTCTTTGTGTCTAAATCCGCAGTCACCGGAGCTTTGGCAGTTTCAATAATCTTTGTAGGACTTGATGGTTTCTTCGTATCTGAATCTGCAGTCGATGCAGCTTTGACACTTTCAACATCTTTTGTAGGAGTTGATGGTTTTTTCAGGCCTGAATCCGCAGTCGGCGGAGCTTTGGCAGTTTCAATAATCTTAGCATGGCTTGATGGTTTCTTCGTATCTGAATCTGCAGTCGATGCAGCTTTGACACTTTCAACAACTTTTTTAGGACTTGATGGTTTCTTCAGGTCTGAATCCGCATTCGGCGGAGCTTTGGCAGTTTCAATTTTCTTTGTAGGGCTCGATGGTTTCTTCATGTCTGAATTCGTAGTCGGCTTAGCTTTGGCAGTTTCAATTTTCTTTGTAGGATTCGATGTTTCCGTGTTTAGAGCTGCAGTTGAAGTTGAGACAATTAATTTTTCTTCCACAATAACCTTTTCTGGCAAGTTTGTCGGTTTCGTTTCTGAGGGAGATTCCTTTTTTGGCGGGTTTACAACAGCCTGACTAGCATCATCAGTAATGGCACTTTCAGATTCAGAGTTGCCTTTTTGCTTCGTTTTCTGAGCATTTTTAACGTTTGGAGCATTTGAAACTTCATTCTTGTCGTTTCTGGGAAGTGGTTTAATATTTGACTTTTCAACAACGCTTTCCTTAGAATTCTTTGATTTCACATCTTTCTTTTTCTTCGAATCTTGAAAAGTTTTCGAAATATTAGATGCATCAGCCATAGTTTCAGATTCTATTGCAACTTCCGATGCTTTGACAGAAGGTTTCGATTCATCAACATCATTTTCACCGGCATTTCCTACTGATGCTGCTTCAATTTTTTCTTGATGAACTTCTTCGGTAGGAACAACTGGAGCTGTCTCAACATTCTTTTTAATGTTGTTAGATGATTTAGTTTTCTTTTCATTCTTTTTTTCTTCTTCAGGTGGAGGTGTGGGTGCATTTCTAAGCATATCAGCCATGCTTAGTTTCTGCGGTTGTTGCTGAAGAAGTTCATGACTAGTTTCGGTTTTAGTAACGTTTACTTTTATGTCTTCAACGGCCTTGACAACAGAACATGGTGGGGTTGAATCATTTGACGTTTTGGTCGTTTCAACAACGTTGTCCTTAGTTTCATTTTCATTCTTTTTAATATTTTTTTCAGTTTTTGCAAGTTCTTTTTGTTGCTGCTTTTGAGCATGGATGTCTTTTATTTTCCCAACATTCGCCATCAGCGTATCTAGAAGAGAGGATGAACTCATTTTAGTGACTGGTAGATTGACTTTTTCTTCTTCTTCTTCTTCATCGTTCATTTCTTCGTTCAGCACTAGTAACTTTTCATTTATTTCAGCTTCCTTGATTTTGTGCAACTCAGTTTCAAGGTTTGCAATAATTTTTTGTTGCTTTTGAACATTTTGAATTTCTGTTTTCGTTGTGTTTAAAACTTTGTTGATTTCTGCCATCAATATATCGCGAGATTCGATTTCCTTCAAAAGTTCATCTTTATTTTTTGACTTCACTTCTTCCACATTCTTTATTCCTTTCTTCAATTTTTCAATATGTTCAGGCAGTTTGTATGTTGAAGCTTGAGCAGCATCTGATGTTTCACCTTGTAGGTAATTGTTTTTTGCATCTTTAATTTTAGATAATTCAGTTTCTAATCTCCCGACAAATGCTTGTTGATTCTGCACATTTTTGATTTCCAGCTTTGTGACACCCAAAACCTGTTCAATTTTATCTACTAACAGATCTTTTTCTGGCTCGTTTGCAGGTATCGTAGAAGAACTAGCTAATGAAGTCAATGCGACCATCTCCTTTATAGAATCTTGGTGATCTTTGGCTATCTTCTTTTCTTGCTTTTTACAATCCAAAACCATTTCAATTTTTTCCAAAAGCTTTTCACGTTTTTCAATTTCATTTTTCAATTGATCTCGTGCTTCTCTTTGTTCACGTTCTAGACGTTCTTGCAATTCATCAGGAATACATTTTTTTGAGTCGCCTCGTCTTCTGTTCTTAGATTTGCGGGTTTCATTATTATGAGCTGCTGGTAGCACTTCCACTTTTTCAGCTGGTAGTTCTTTTACATCTTTTTCATTTGAAACTTTTTCAGTCTCATCATTGTTTGAAGACTTTTTGTTTTTCTTACGATTTTCCCGAGTTTTAGCAGCATTAACAGGAGAACGATTTTCTGTAACATTTTTATTATCAGAACATGCTTGAGGCAATTCACTTTTAGGAGGTTCAGTTGGAACTACAACTTTTTCTTCAACAGTTTTCTCTTTGCTTTTAACTGCAACATCTTTTTTAGTATCAGGTGGAGGTTCTGTTGAAGAACTTTCCTCAATCTCACTGGAAACCTTAGTAGCTGCAGCATCTTAAAAATAAGAAATAAATTTCAAATATTTTAAGAAAATGAAGAAAAGATGTTCATACTTTTTCTTTTTCTATGACGTTTTCTTTTAGATTTTGATGCAGCTTGTGGAACATTCTCCTTATCAGCTACAACATTGATTTCATTTTTGTCTGATATATTTTCTACCTTTTCTTCTGGCTTTGGAGTTGAGGCAATTTGTGTTGTATTTTTAGATTCATTCTCAATAGGAGCCTTTTGTTCCACTTCTGGTTCCTTCTTAACAACTTCTACATCAACCTTATTTTCTGGCAAGGTTGACACTGCAGTGTTCTTCTGTTTATTTTTTCTTCCCATTTTCAATGACTAAAATAAAAGCGGATTTTCATTTCAAGTTCAGCACGTGAATTATTTATGAAAACATATAAATGTTTGCCAACAAATGAAAGAAAAAAAATTGACAATTTAATTTTAAAAATAAAGAAAAGTTATTGAAAAAATAATAAATGAAATTGAATAAAGTGAACATAATAACACAAGAATTTGTATACTTTTCATATGTACATGAACTAACGATTGACTATAACAAACGTTTGAATACCTCTGTGTGAAAAATGTTATAAATAGAATCATTTTTAAAAGTTGGAGTCTCGAGCTAGAAATGTACATTTTTCTTATCCACATAAAATATTACATAATAGATACTCAAAAGTTTATTTATTAGAAAATATTTCAATATAATAAACATGTAGATATGAAATTTAATTCGTTTACCTTGTTTACTTTGGTTATATTTTAGTGATTAATTTTTTTATATTCTTTAACACTTTTCCACAATTATGTAGATACTTCTCTTCGAGGCAGAAACTCTGACTGAAAATAATTATTTCCAAGCAGATTTTCTAAATAAATTTCCCATACAACGAAAATTGAGAGAAAATTCGGGTAACACGAGAAATGAAAATTCACTTTATGTTCTACCGAATATTTTACGAACAGTTTTTCTCAGATTTCTCTTGTAAAATATTTTCTTTCGAGGATAAAGATTGATACATACTGATTACTTCTCATTAACAAACACAAAACTAACGCCAAAACATGATACATAAATGTAGAATTTGAAATTAATATTTATCATTGACAATGACATTTCAAAGAAAATTAAAGAATAAGGTTTAGTGTATTTAACTTTATTTATTAGTGATTTCTTTAAGGCTCACGGTATGTCACATTTAAAAAATAAAAATATTGTTCAAAACCTGAAAAAGGTCAATTGTTTCAAACGAAAGGAAAAGGTGATTCAGGATCTTTCAAACTTCCTGGTGCTTCGAAGAAAGAAACTGCACCAAAAAAAGCAAAAACAGTGAAACCAAAATCTGTTAGACCTTAAAAGGCACCAAAAAGGTGTCAGCAATGTTTTTGTTTTACGGCTT